TACACCCTAAAACCTAAATCCTCAACCGCGAGCCCTCCGTTGGTCAACTACCGAAGCTTGAGCTCCACTCGGCCAAAGTCGGAAAAAGGCGCATCCGTCTGCGAAGCCAAGAGGCGCTGCTTGCAGAGGCAAGCAGTCAGAGAACCTGAAGCTTCTTCAATTTCGGGTTTAGGGTTTAGGGGTTTAGGGTTTAGGGTTGAGGGGTTGAGGGGTTTAGGGTTTAGGCTTTAGGGTTTATGGTCCTGACCCCAAGAACCTTCAAAGCCTCGAGGCCTAAGCAACAAAGCTCAAAGCCCGAACCCCCGAGAAAAGCCCTAAACCGAAACTTCCTGCAGCCTAAGGCTTTCCACGCTGCTGAGGCCAGGGCAAGAACACAGCAACTTCTGCAATTCCTGGGCTTAGGGCTTAGGGTTTAGGGAGCCCAAACCCTAAACCCTAAACCCTAAGCTTAAGGTTTCAGTTTTGCGGACGCCTGAACGAAGTCAATTGGGAAAGGGGGCTGCGAAGCTTCAGCCCGTCAGGCCGATGTGGGAACCTGACTAAGGAAACCTGGGTCCTATAAGCCCCCCCAAAAGTATAGGGGGTTTAGGGTTTAGGGTTTAGGGTTTAGGGTTTAGGGCCAAAAGTATGATCCGTTTAGAAATTAGGGTTTCGGGCCCATATAAGGAAGCCTAATAGTGACAGGTTTCTGAATCAGGTTCCTATTCTCAGAGCGAAGGCCGGGGCAAGCAGCAAAACCCCGAGTTTAGGCTTCGATGTGGGGCTTGGGAACCCCCGGGTTGAGGGCCTAGACGAGGGCTTCGGACCAGAGTTTCGAATTCAGGATTTTGGGGGTTTAGGGTTTAGGGTTTAGGGTTTAGGGTTCAGGGTTTCGGGTTTGGGTTTCGGGTTTGGGTTTCGGGTTTGGGTTTCGGGTTTCAGCTTTAGGGTTTCAGGCTTCAGGTTTAGGGTTCATATAGGGTTTCGGGTTTCGGTGGGACAAGACTAATTTGAAAGCTGGCAGCTCTGACGTGACGGACTCCGACGCTGTCCTGCACAGTACAGAACATGCCAACCTGGGTTAAGGGTTTGGGGCTGCTACCGTTCAAAAGAATGTCTGGTGTAGTACGAAGGGTCACAGATCTAGAAATTATTGTCCAGCCTAGTTTGTGTCTTGGTGTGTGTGTGTGTGTGCAATGCTTTAGAGACCCGCAGAAATCCAAAACCTCAAACCCTAAACCCTAAACCCTAAACCCTAAACCCTAAACCCTAAACCCTAAACCCTAAACCCTATGGAGCTCGGCCTGGCGTTGGTGCAAGGATGGCAGTTGACCGTATTTCTCGATACATGTACATCCATACCCATTCGCTTCTGCCTGTTTAGGGGTTTAGGGTTTAGGGGTTTAGGGGTTTAGGGTTTAGGGTTTAGTATCCATTGTAGTTCCTTTTTTGGTTTAACCATTTCTATATCATGGATCCTAAGAGGTAACCCCAAAAAGGAACTACAATGGAGACTATAGGTAGGTCCTTTCCCCCGGTGCCCGGTGCCTCCATTATCCCAAACCCCCCGCGTGAAGAACTACTATCAAATAAGCAACCTTTCCAGTTCAAGGGCTGCGGAGTCCCTCTGTATATATATATATATATGTGTGTGTGTGTATGTGAACAAGACAAGTCTATGTATAAACACATATATCTATGATCGCATTTATGCAAAGGATACAGGGGAACATTGCTACAAATAATTCAGGCCTCTGTAGCAAAACACTAAACCCTGAAACCCCTAAACCCTAAAGCCCGAAATCCCAAAACCCTAAAACCCTAAACCCCTATAAGCCCTAATTAAAACCCCAACAGCCGAAGCGCTGTCAACGACGAGGCATCGAGCAACCCAGCAAAGTTGCCGGCGACCTCCAGCTCCTTCTCGCGGTTCAGGGTTTAGGGGTTT